ATAAATAGTCTGGATAAAACTGACTTCATTAAATTAGATACTTTACTAGTTCTCCAGTCAGGCTTACTAGATCCCCTTTAACTCCTTGACCACCACAGTGACTATACATTTGGCTGACTGGAAGGTTTCCCTTACTTCCATTTCCTTTGAGTCAGTCCTTTTATAGGGTTTTGTTCTGGGCAAGGAAGGTACATCTGCCATGAGGTGGTAAGCTTGAGTTGATTACTTCTTGTCTCTTGAGAAATGAGGTATAGAATTCTGGGTAGTAGATAATGCTTTGTTGAATCAGTGGAATATATTTTTTGTACATTATTTATCTATTTATTTGCATTTTTCCTAAGTTGCTGCCATGACTTCATGTGGTTCATGTAGTTTGGTTTGTTCTACTCTTCCTTGTGGAAGCACCCAACAGAATCTATGTTAAAATCAGTGTCCAAATTCCATTTCTTCAAACAGGCCAAAAAGAAATTAATTTTTGTGGCCATCCACAACCTAAACAGACACTTAGAAGGTGTACTCGTTATTGCTGTTTGTTTTCTATTGGCTTTTGAAAGCAAGTTTTTGGACCAGCTTTTAGGTGTTTTCAAATCCATTAGAATTTTATCTTTGCGAATATGTCATTTTACTTATGCTTGACATTGTTGATTTATTTTTATAGTAGTTTGCTATGCCAAGAACAAATTAAGCTATCCCCCAAGGAAGAAATCTCCTGTTCTATTCCTAACTTTGCTAGAGATTGCCTCGTCATTGCTGCTCCTCATTATCTTCATAAAGTGGCAACTAAAGAAATCCATTTAAAATGTCCTAGATAGTCTTGAATTGAATTTTTAAAATATTTCTCATATGTGGATTTTCAAACTTTTTCAAAGAATAACTGCTGGAAATAAATTCAAAGATAAAAATTGCTAAAAAGAAAGAGCAGCTGCAAGATATAAAGGTCTAATTCCCTCACCATGTCCCTACAAAACACTAGTGATCCGTAGGCTAGATAGAGATGTTCAGCATGCTAAAACTGAGTAATCTTTTTTGAAGAACTCTGTCAGCAAACAACATGCAGTTCTTATTAAAGGTTTTGAACTGTGCTGTAAGAATGTTGGTTTTGAGGACAGGATGAATTGGAATGAGAGAATTTCTCCTGGGGTCACACTTCATGCCTATACTCAAGAATCAAAGACAACTCTTTAAAACAGGGGTCCTCAAACTTTTTAAACAGGGGGCCAGTTCACTGTCCCTCAGACCGTTGGAGGGCCAGACTGTGGGCCCTGGGACAAGTTGGCTGCTAAGCAGGACAGGCAGCAGCAGCAAAAACACCCAGCGGGCTGGATAAATGTCCTAGGTGGGCTGCATGTGGCCCACGGGCCATAGTTTGAGGACGCCTGCTCTAAAGAATAGGCCTTGGAGTGCAACCTCAAACTTTATTCCTTCACCAAATCTTCACAGCATTATACAGGGCCAACTTTTCCAAATAAGGGAAGTATTTTTCCCACAATCAGGGGACAGCAAATTTATTAAGAAGCAAAGTTCAAGGCTGGCTGCAGTGGCTCACACCTGTAATCCTAGCACTCACTCTGGGAGGCCCAAGCAGGTGGATTGCTTGAGCTCAGGAGCAAGACCCTGTAACTGGGGCTACAGGCCCTGTGCCACTACACTTGGCTAATTTTTTAAATTTTTATAGAGATGGGCTCTTGTGATTTTGCCCAGGCTGGTCTTTGACTTCTGGATTCAAGTGATCCTCTCAAGTCATCTTCCCAAAGTGCTGGGATTACAGTCATGAGCCACGTGCCTGCCCACTTAAGACATTTTATAATAATTTGATGTATTTATTGACTCTAATAAAAATCTGGATTTATATTTTGTAGTCTTTTAATTTTATTTTTCTGGAAATAAAATATTTGTCTGAAAGGGATTGAAAATTGGAAAACAAAAGATTGGCCCTATCCCACAGAGGTGATTTGAGAAGCACTGCCTTAGGCAGGGTCCTGGGCATTATCCAAGGTGCCTCCTTTTTGTCTCAGGAAGGCGGGTGCAAAAGCCTAGTTCTTTTTAAAAAATGATTTTTTAAAAAATACTTAATTTTGGTAGAATATATATAAGATAAATTTATTAACTTAACCATTTTGAAGTATATAGTACAGTAACATTAATTACATTCACATTGTTGTATGGGACCAATCTCTAGAACTTTCCATCTTACAAGACTAAAAATTTATATCCATTAAACAGCTCTCCATTTCCCTCTTCACCCAGTCCCTTGAAATTACCATTCTACTTTTTTATCTCTATAAATTTGACCACTCTTAATACTTTATATAAGTGGAATATTTATTCTGCTATTTATTTATTCAGCTATCATTCTGTAGGTTGTCTTTCACTCTATTGATTGTGCCCTGATACACAGTTTAATTTTGATGTAGTCAATTTTACTTAGTTTTTTCTTTTGTTATCTGTGCTTTTATTGCCACATTCAAGAAATCATTGCTAAATCTAATGTCATAATGTCATAAAGCTTTTTCCCTATGGTTAGGTATTTGATCCATTTTGAGAAATTTTTGCATAAAGTGTAAGGTAAGAGTCTAACTTCATTCATTGCTTTGCCAATATCATGTGTTGATAGGAGCCTAGTTCTTTCACTCAATTACTCCTGAACTAGCCAACTGAATGAAGAATAAGTGACAAATAAGCATTGGGAAATTTTCTGGGGAAATATGGATACTGATTTGTGCCTTAATTTTGGCAAGCTGGGGAAGGCAACTGTGGCAATTTGAAAGCTAGATGTCATGATTTAATATTGCAAAAACATAATATGGCCATTTTGATGGCAACATTGTGACTAGTTCAAAAGTGGAAATTAAAATAAATGTCATGGATTTTTGCAAAAAAGACTATGGTATTTAGATGTTACACCTTCTAGACAACTTGATATTTCCTAAACTTAAATTCTTGGCAGGGACAAAGGAAATTGTTGTGGTGTGGTAATTGGAATTGACAGCCTGATAAACCTGTACTCAGTGAATTCACTGAGTTCAATGCTAGATGAGAAAAAGAAAAGATGCCTCTTTTGAAAAACTTAGGTTTGTCTTTTTTTTCTTTTGTCTTGCTGCTAGGAAATTCAAGGCTAAATTATGTGCTCAGTGACATACCCTTTCCTTCCTTGGTTCTTATCTTCTATTCATTTGTTTTGTTTTGATTTTCTTTACAAAGGAACTTTACTAAGGTACAAATGATGTACATCCAATAAAATGCATCCATTTCACATTTTGACAAATGTGTATACCCACGTACTTACCACGTGAGTCAAGATTATAGAAGATGTCTGTCCCCCCAGGACATTCCCTTCTGCCTCTTCACAATCATTGCTCTCTTTCTACCTGTTGTTAAATAGTTCCATTGATTCTGTGCTCTTTAATGTTAGCCACCAATCTGCTACTGATACTTTTGCATAGATGGAATATAAAAAAGTAACCCCTTGAATGAAATAGCCTTTTTAAATTCTATCACTGATTTTTTTTTCCTGTGATCTGCCATTGAATTTCATTTTATATTTAAAAAAGGAGCATTGCCGTTTCTGAATACTTAAATCTCATTGCAACTAACGTTGATGAGCTAGTGTTGTATGGAACATTGCTAGATATCTTTGGAAGACCATGTTCCTTTTTCTCCCTCTTAGAAATTAAATACGTAACTCAAAGGATTTTTTTTAAACCAGATAAATTTGTTTGTATATGGTCAACATCTGAAATATGTAACAAACGTTGATTGCCAGTGGTCTGCTTTCTAGTAATTCAGCAACTCAAAAGTCCTATGAAAATCTATAGCTGCATTTTGAAATGTTAGTGCTCTGACCTATATGTAGATGTCATAACTGTTCCTTAAATTGACACCAAGAAGTTTAACGAAGCAGATTGTGTATGGGGACATCTTGGGCTCTAGGTGGGTGTATGAGGTAACAAGAATGAGGAAAAACAAAAATGTTGACTAACTTATGCATGAGGTATTCTAGGACATAACTTCTTCCCCAGGATAATAAGTAATTGGAAGTTTTAACTGTTTTTGCTTGCCATATAGAAGGAGTTCTTAACATTCTGGAATTACCTTTCCACAATGAATTAAAGTCTAAATGAAGATATAAGCCAAAATATATCACATAATCTTCAGATATTATGCTTTAATGTTTCCTTATAATATGATACAGCTATTTAAAAAAAAAATTCAGCAGTAACAAAAGGGCATACATTATAACCATTTGACATTTTCTTGCAATTATTTCCTGTGTGGATGGTATAAAAAGGAATATCATTGAACCAGAGTATTTTCAAAACATGGAAAATCCTCATGCAAAGATTGATTGTTTAATGTCCTCTGTGGTAATATCCCAGCAATGATACTGTATGTGATACTGCAGTATCACAGCCACATACATGATGTATCCTAAAATACTTGACATTTCCATGCATTGGCCTGAGTGTGAGGGTGTAGGTGGGTATTCATTTGTTTGTTTTGCTTTCTATTTTTACTGGCTCAAATTCATTAGATAGGAAAACTATTAACTCAAATTCTGTTTATGTGCACAATGGTCACATGCATTTGGACTAGTTAAGTCTAGGAACAACCCAGAGTACTATAAATAAAGATCATGTAGATTCTTCCTTGTTGATAGTTTGTCCTTGCAAATGGTCCCCGTTACCCTGAATTTTAGGTAAAGGGTGGTTATGATGTGTGAGGGCCCACTGAATTTGATGTGTCTTCATTTTATTTAAGGAAAGGATGGTGTATATAGCATGCCACAGAAGGAAAACCTTTAGAAGACTCTTTGGCTCTTTTCCTGAACATAATTAAATTTCCATTATGCTTTTCTTTGCCAGAAGTTTAATGATTACATTGAATAATTGAAGTGTAATTGGTTCTTCACATTTGCTCCCACTTGGTAAAAAAAGCAAAGTCTAATATAATAAACACTTGCTGACTAAACTTTTCCTCCTTGTCTTTAACTTTTGTTTTAGGACTCAGCCCAAAACCATGTTTGCCCCAGTTGAATCTGATGATGAAGAAACAAAGAATGAGCCACAATGGAAAAAACGTAAAATTTGAAGAATCTCATTTGAGAGCTGTTCATGTGAGGGGGAGTGATACAGGATAGGATTTTTTTGTAATGCTTATTGAATAAATAATACATTTTTATGAACAGGTTTGTCCTTTGCATTATTGAACCATTGAAAAGATTGGTAGGCACCCTTCATTAAAATTGTGCTTACATTCTCTTACCTACAACTATTAAACTGTATTACAAATAAACAAAAACCAGATTTTTAGCCTATTACCAAGTACTTTAGGTATTTGGAAACTTGCATGTATTCAGCAATTATTGGTCTTACACAGATTATCATATCTGTAGAGAGGAGAATGTACATTGAGATGTACATCTGACTTGAGCAATTCTGGGAACATAATATAGAACTAGAGATCAAAAAGCTTAATATTCTGTACAGTTCCACATCAGTTGTTCACATGACTATATATAATTACACTAAGATCAAACCAAAAGCATTGCCATACTAAGAAAGAACGTGTATGTGATTATCCTTCAACAACAGAGTACATGATTAGGAGTTAGGAGAGCAGGCTGTGAAGTGAGACGAATGTAGATTCAAGGCCTGGCTTTGCTGTTTGCTTCTGGCTCACTTTACGAGAGTTATTAAACTTCTCTCTTTTAGCCTCAGATGACAATAGTACCTACTTTTTAGGTTTGTCTGAAGGATTAAATGGGACATGCTCATAGCTTTTAGCACAGTACATGGCACTCAGTAAATATACACTAAATATTTCCTATTTTAAAATGGGGCTAGTGATATTTACTTTTTATCAGCATTAAATTTGGAAGATATAGAAATACTTTGTAAATGTAAGGGGTTTACAATATCCTAATAGGATATCCTATTTACAATATCCTAATTTACAAAATTCTATAATATCCTAAGTAGAGGATATTAAAATTATTATAAAAAAATCCTTGTGTTTTTGTGACTGGAAAACTAAAACGAAAGTTGGAGATTTGGCCAAAATAATACAGAGTTAATAGAATAAAATTCTGTGGATTAGGTTTCACATAGACCAGAGGTAGTTTTTGCATTTTAAATAGTCTCATCTAGACAATTTATGTTCTTTATTACCGAAGTAACTACTTCAGTCCTCCTGCTGTCATTGGTTCTAGGGAATTCAATAATTGTAAAAGTGGATGACAGTCCAAAAAGTATGTCAGCAAGCTGCTGCTTCCACGGCTTTACACATCTCCTCTCACTTCCATTGTCTGCATATTCTGAGGTAGCAGTAGACATTCTTCCATAGACAGATCCTAAAAACTGCATTTTTGTACATTTTCTTCCCTGCAACCCCCATCCTCATCCCGTTTTCCTTCCCTTGTGACTTAGCCTGTGTGTAATAGATAAAGAATGAGCTAATGGTGTTGAGTGCCTTCCGTGTGTAAGTGCTAGTCTAAGCCCTTTATTTGTATTAGCTGATGTAATCCTCCCAGAAAACCCATGAGTGGGTACAATTTTAAGCCCATATCACAGATGAGACAAAAGTAGTTTAAGGTGTCAGTCTTTTAGAGGTCATAGCCAAGGAAGGCTGTATGAAGATACCCAAGATCTCTAAATATCAGTCATTAACTTACTGCTCCAAGTTTTCTATTCCTGTTGTAATATGCTTCATCCAAAATCAATTACAAACCAAAATTTTGTTCCAGCTGCTTAAGATTTATAAATTTATTGCTTCTTGGATGAAATTTACTGAAAGCATCTCATGTCTTATCCCATCTTAACATAAACATTGCACCATATGGAAGTATTCGCCTTGTATAGCCAAAAGCAGTGGAGGGTTGATCGTAGTGGTCTTGGCGGAGTCTGCTATGATGTAAGAGGACAGATAGGAAAATGTAGCACGAATGATTTTCTCATTGTTACCCACAACACAAGTGGGCCTTTTCATGTTTGAGAGGATCTGTCTCACTCTAGAGAGTTTAATAAAGAGTTATTTTTTCCACAGAAGGTTGGCAATATCACATAGGATTTCAATTTCAAATTTGGTGAGGGTAGACATTGGAACCGGGGCTAGGCAAATGGTGTTCATTTGACTTACAGTCCGGTCACCAGGGTGGATGCCCCATAAGCCCTCACACTCTGTGTATCCCTCAGGATTCATTATCTTCCTCCACACCTTGGTCAACTAGATTTCCAGGTGATCAAAGAGGGGACCTGGAAGTTAGCATAATGTCTCCTCCCTTACCCTCAGCCACTCTATTTCATTATTTGCCAATTTCTGCCCATGCTATTATATATTCTAAATCTTCTTGTATTTTGTTCTTCTTTTCCTCTACCACCCCTGCTAGAATTTAGACTCTTTTTTAGCTTTCACCAAAACATGAAGTGGGAGGATCACTCAGGAGCCTCCCTTCCAATTAATCCCCCTGTTCTTCATTAGCCCCTTACCATCTTTCATTCTGGCATCAGAGTTGGCCTTCTGAAACCAGTCTATCATTTCATTATTTTGCCCTAGAGCCTTCTAGAGGCTATTCTCATTCATTTGTGTGGCATTTTAGGAACATACAGGGTTCAGCCTCCCTATCTTACATCTCTCTCCATCACAGCCTCCTTTTATGTTGCATTGTAATTGTATATGTGTGAATGGCTTGTGGGTCAGGGGTGTGTGTGTGTTTCCTCCACTAAGATGGAGATTAGAAAAACTAAAGAGCATTGAGTTCAGTAAGTAGTCAATAAACTTATTTAATGAAAAGAGAGGAGCCCTGTTCTAATCACAATTGTATTCTTAGATCTAGCCCTGAGAAAGAGGTTAAAATGGTGCTTTTTTTTTTTTTTTTTTTTTTCAGTTTTTGGCTGGTGCTGGGTTTGAACCCACCACCTCTGGCATATGGGGCCAGTGCCCTACTCCTTTGAGCCACAGGCACCACCCTGAAACGGTACTTACTTAATCTTTGGCAGAGAGAGTAAAAGAAACAGGGAAGGATGAGGACGGAATGGGAAGAGAATGAGATATGAGAAGTGCTTCTGCCTCACGGTTGGAGAGGAGGATCATTATTAACCGAAGGCTGGTCTATATCCACACTGCCTCATCTCTTCTCTGTTGGGATTTATTCACAGGTAACTGTTGTGATATTTCGAAGAAGTAGGATTATCTCTGGTGTTCCTAGCATGACACAATAAGCCTCAAGCCACTGTCAACTCCTTGAGCACTCACCTCCCATCCTACTGGACTTGGTACCAGGAAGGTCATGAGACCATGAGTCACCTAGGATCTGAGGTATCTCCAGTATGGGTACTCTTAACTGAGGCAGGGTGTCTGTGAACTCCCTCAAATCATATGTAGTGTACTTTGCTTATCCTCTTGTACATGTTTTTGTGGAGAGGATCCATAAATCTCATTAAATTCTGGGATATTGGATGTTGCTAGTAGCTTTTCATCTCCATCTAAAATTGGGCCATTCAGACACGAAAACCAGGACATAACTCTCATACATTCACAAACACACTATCAAACAAAACAGACTACAAGCTGTAACACACTGGTCCCCATTTAGTCTTAGGCAATCAACCATATTGATTTGTAGTCAGACCTCAATATTTATTTTAAAAAGATTATTAGCCTTCTGTCTCATCAAAAATAAGAATTCAGCTTCACAGTCTCATGAAGGCAGCATCCAGGTTGAGCACTTTTTTATGTGATCTAAGGATGGATATTATGAAACTTGAAATATTTGAAACTTGAGCCAATCTGAGAAAAGCTTTTAAGAATCAATATAACTATCTCAGGTGACTGTGAGCCTTTTGGCATTTATGTGTAATAACTGACAAGCAGGATGGGGTAGGAGAAAGGGAGGGTGCCCCGTGCCTGCTTATATATGTAAATATGCAAACAGCGGGCGTCAGTAACCCGGTAGAGGTGATAATGCCTCCTTTGTTTTTCAGTCTTCTTGTGTGTAAGGAGGTCAGGAAATTGGAAAGAGTTGTTAACTGACACCTTTTGAAGAATATCTTTCTGGAATGGGGCACACCACACACCACCATGACTGAAGCTAATTTGTAGTCAACACTTTCACCAAAGAACTGAGAGGAAGACCAGACCATGAGAGAAGTATCTGAAGATGGGAGATCTTGAGAGAGCTATGTGTGTGTGTGTGTGTCTAGAGGTAATGTAACTGGAGAAGAGGGCAAGGATTAGAGAAATTTACTATTCTAAGTAGTTTTCTAAGTTATGAGAGAGTATATTATGGGTCTTCAAATTTTTAAATAAATATCTAAAAGTATTTTTAAAGTATTTCACATGCCCACCCTCTTACATTAATACTTTACTAAAGAAAATTTGGAAAATGCTGCCTTACAATGGTAGATTGAAGATGGCCAAGTTCTTTGACAATTCTCTCTTCTTATATCTGAGCAGCTCTGTGACAGATAGACCCATAGGACATGGCAGAGTGATGCTTTGTGAGGTACCAGGTACTTTCTTTCTTTTGGGATACTTGTTTTTGAAATCTGGCTGCCATTCTGTGAGGAAGCCCAAGCAGCCCAGGGAGAGGCCCACCTGGAAAGGAACTTAAATTCCTGGCCCTAAAGCCCAATTGTGCTCTGCACAGCTGAACTGGAACCAGAACCAACATATTATTGAGCCATCATGGAAAGCAGAGACTTCAGTTCCAATAAAGTCACATCAGCTCTTGTCACATGATGTAGAGATGAGCCAATGTCCATAGAGCCCTGCCCAAATTTCAGATGAATGAGCAAAATGAGTAGTTACTTTCATTCTAAGCTACTAAGTTTGAGGTTGTTTGCTATACAGATATATATAATTTGAACAACTTAACATATAAAAAAATTATTCAACCATTCAAATATAAGCTAATATTTTGATGAATTGTAATTTTTTTCTTTTATATACAGTTCTGAGATTTATTTTCTCTTCTTAGAACACAGTTATAATATTTATGAATAATATGGTATATTTTTTACTTGTTAAATAGCATGTAAAATTTCTATATTATTACAAACCTCTTATATGACTTTAGTAGCTACATAGTAGTTCATTATATAGGTGTATTTTCTATATGTAACCATTCTATTATTGTTTCTGAATTTGCCATTATAACCAATGCTGCTTTAGATAGCACAATGCTTA